TTGCTTTGTGACTTTAGGTCAAACATCTTTGCTTCAGGCTCCTCATTGGTCTGATATGAAGGATAACCACTTCATAAAGCCTGTCTACCTACCTGAGGGGTGATTGTGGGAAAAGGCACAAGGTAAATCAAAGTCAGAGTATCACTTACTGCCCTGGCAGAGTGTGCCCAGCTTACTCACTGCTTACCTTCTGTCTGCAAGCCTGCTCTTGGGAAATTGGCATCTCTTTTCCCATAGAAACAGTGACAGGTCCTCAGGCTGTCATACTCCTTACTAATTGCACTGTAAACTCAAACCACCATTTACAACAGTATTACTAATGCATGTGGTCTGGTGATTGGTGTACTTTGAAAGGGTCAAAGTGTCTAGGGTAGGCCAGCATTTAAGATTATGTCAGCTGTATTAAGGAAATCTTGGAATGCTCACAGGGTGAGTTGGTGAGTAGGTTGTTTTAAGACTATGAGATCTTTGTTTTTCTTTTTAAAATTAATATATTTTGTTTCTCTGTTACCTTCATTTCCAGATATATTCCTTTGCCCTTTTCCCCCAGCCTTGTAACAGTAAAAAAGAAGGGAAAGAAAGCAGTTCAGTACATCAACTGAGTCTGACCAGGTATGTGGTGTCCCACACCCTTGATTCCTCACATCAGCAAAGAAGGAAGTGAGGTCACATTTTCCCCTCATCTGGTTCCTTCTAATAACTGCTTAGCCCCTCCAACCTTATTTCCCATGATTTGCTAATAGGCACCCTTCATTCTGCTCAGACCAGAAAAAATCACTGTCTTATAAATGAACTGTGGTCATTCTCACCTTTGGGCATATTCCTTAGTTATCCTTCAAGGCCTGGCTCAAGGGTCTAGAGACCTGGGTTTATATGTGGGCTTTGATGCTCTTTAGTTCAATGACTCGGGGAGGGGGCGCCATTTTGCCTCCATGTGGCTTCACTCCCTGAAAAGAGGGGTGTGGTCGCAGAGCACCATATTGTTGTCAACCCTAAAGTGGCATATGATTATAAGACACTCCCCGCAACTCTCCCTTACAGCTTTCCCTCTCTTCTGAATTTCTAATGCACAGTTTAACTCTTTACCATATTTTGCCTTGATATTTTCCAGGTGGTTTCGTATGTTCATTATGTTTCCTTAACTGACTGTAAGTTCCTGCAGTACAGAATTGGTCTAACTCAGGTATACCTCAGTAGTTAGCATAGTGTCAAGACACACTAAGCACTTGCTGAATACGTATTGATTAATTGATAACGTTAAAGATGATTTTAAATTGTGTTGTGCGTTTCCTACAGAAATTTTTTCAACTCATAGTTGTTTTTAATTAATTTCAGCCAACATTAAGTGACCTTGGTCTGGGTTGTGTGCAGGGGTGAAAATATTACAGTTTTTGCTTTCAGTGAAATTACGCTCTAGTGGGGAGAATCAGATCCATGGACAAATAAGTATGTTTGCAAGCAGAATGGGATGTAAGGGGAGGGGAGGGATCGTTTTTACCCAGAAGTGATCAAGAAAAGCAACATAGAGGTGTGCAAGTCAAGGTGTGGCAGGAGCACTACAGGCACCCAAGCACTTTGACAATATAAGGAACTTGTTCATGCAAATTGTGATAACCAGATATTGGTCAGGACAGGACATGCTGTGTATAAAATAGCCAGACATACTTGCCATAGGTGGTTTTCCAAATGTATGCGAACCATCTGTAGGCCTGTTGTCAGCATATCGGCATATTGGCACAAATGTCCTTGGGTATTGATTGGATAGTGATTACGTAATCCTTAATCGGATTGGCTAGACTAACTGTTAAACCTAGATCTCCACTCCTGATCAGGACAAACAGGCTTGAGGTTGTAGTACTGACCAAGGTTTCTACCTCAGCGGTGGTGTGGTGATGGCCCACCATGGTACAAGCCTGAAAAGCAAATTGAGAAGCCTGAGAGGCCCGAGGAGACTGACTTAGAGTCAGAGCCTCACAGATTGGATCAGGCAGGCTCTGGCCCCTGCCATCACTGCTCACAGCTCTAGACCTGATAGCCTGAAATTGAATCCAGCTCCCCAGCTCCCAGATTACTGACCTCGTCATATGCTCTGCTGTGGGGTGATGAAGAGGACGGGCTTGTAAGGTCCCTTGTTAACTGTTACATGACTGGCAGTCCCCAACCTTAGGGCCGTCAAGTGCTTTCTGTTGTGGTGTAAGATGCCAAGAAAAGGCTTTTGCCTTGATAGAGTGACTTATTTTGGTATGTCTAAGTTTAACTTGAAGTGAATAAAGCATCTTCTGCTTGGCCCTTCTCTGATACGTAAGTGCTCAGTATGTAGGCTCTGATGCTTCATGACGCCTTGGATTCCCGGACTTCGGAAGTCAGTATACATACAGTAGAAGAAATCTATAACACTGGGATTCTAGCAGGACCTGGTTAGGAGGGAGGAAGTGTATTCCAGGCTTGGGGAATGAATGGCCTGCTGTGGAGGTGAGAGGGCACAATGAAATAAAAGAACCCTGAACAGTCCAGTTTGGCTAGAACTCAAAATGCTTGAAGGGGAGTAATGGGCAATAAAGCTGGGAAAATGTGTTGCTCGATGATTAGCCTACCCTTGCATTTTACAAAGGCTGATTGTAGAAATGTAAGAAATGGGGCTGGCCATGTGGCTGTTGTTCCTTTGGAGAGAAATGAGTACTCTCTTCTGGTGAGCTAGAAATAACTGAAAAGAAAAGAGAGGTTGGTTATTTTTTGCAATTCCCAGACTTCAGAAGGGGCCCCTTCAAGGAATGAGACACACGGTTGACTCATGCTGACTCAGACTACCTATTTGTGCTCATGATGATGCTGGCTAAGTGCTGGGCCAGATCTTTCAAGGGCAGTTTGGTGTTGCTAGAGTCAAATGAAGAGTTTTTAGAAACCCAGAGCAATAACCCAGCATGAGGTGGTGGAAGGCGGCTGGGAACCAGAAGTTTTGTGATCCTGGCCAGGTCATTTGCCTCTACTGGAACCCATCTTCTTCTCTGTGAAATGACAAAGTCAGACTAAATCACCTCTAGGGTCCGCGTCAGGTCCATACTATAAGATTTGTGCTTTGTGGTAGTTCCAAGTTCTTAGCCTGCTTTCTAACTTTGAATATCAATGATCAAGGCATCTTCAAAAACATTTTTTATTGCTATCTTTTTTTAACATCATATTTTATTTTTTTCCAATTACATGTAAAGATAATTTTTAACATTTCGTTTTAAAAAAATTTTGAGTTCCAAATTTTCTCCCTCCTTCCCTCACCTCCCACCTCCCTAAAACAGTAAGCAATTTGATATAGGTTACATATGTATAATTATGTAAAACATATTTCCATATTAGTCATGTTGTGAAAGAAGAAACAGACCAAAAGGAAAAAACCACAAAAAAAAAAGAAAGTGAAGAGTGTGATTGCTCTTCATTCAAACTCCACCAGTTCTTTCTCTGGAGGTAGAAAGCATTTTCCATTATGAGTCCTTTGGAATTGTCTTGATGATGAGTTGCTAAAAAGAGCTAAGGTATTCATAGTTGATTGTTGCACAATGTTGCTGTTACTGTGTACAGTGTTCTCCTGGTTCTGCTCACTTTGCTTTGCATCAGTTCGTGTGTTTCCAGGTTTTTCTAAAATCCGTTTGCTCCTCATTTCTTATAGTACAATAGTTTTCCATTACAATCATGTATTAGAGCTTGTTCAGCCATTCCCCACTTGAGAGGCAAACAGAATAATTCTAGTCCTTTTCCCACATGACAGCCCTTCAGGGTTTGAAGTCAGTTATGTGTCTCCTGCATCTTCTCTTCTACAGGCTAAAAATACCCAATTCCTTTAATCAGTCCTCATTTGGGGTGGACTGGGGGCCCCTCATCATCCTAGTTGCTTTCCATTTTATTAGTGTCTAATTTAATCTGAATAGATTTGTTTATTTTTTAAAATTAAATGAATGTTTTTCAACTAGCAAGCATTTATTTTTCTCTCCCTCCCACTTCTCCCACAATTAAATAAGAATACCCTTATAACAAATTTGCGTGATCAAGCGAAACAAATTCATGAACTGGCCATATGCAAAAAGTATGTCTCATTCTGTGTCTTGAGTCACCTTTCAGTCAGAAGCGGGTAACATGCTCGTTTCATCATCAGTCTTCTAGATTCGTGGTTGGCGGGTGCATTGATCAGAGTTAAGTCTTTTGAAGTTACTTAACTTTACGATATTGTTACTGTATAAAATGTTCTCCTGGTTCTTTTCACTTCACTCTGCATTAGCTCATACAGGCCTTCCTCACTTTCCCTGAAGCCATGCTTTTTATCATTTTTTACAGTACAGTAGTTTTCTGTTACATTAATGTTCCATAATTTGTTCATCCATTCCTCAGTTTGTGGTCACCCCCTTCGTTATCAGTGCTTTGCTGCTTACATATTTTTGTACACATTGGCCCTTTTCCTTTTTCTCTCATTGATCTCTTTGGAGTGTAAGCCTGGGAGTGGTGTCCCTAGGCCACAGGGTATGCACAGTCAATCAGATTGCTTTCCAGAATGGCTGGACCAATCCATAGCTGTTTTGACAATGAGTGCCTGACATTGAGTTTCCCCTCAGCCCTTTTGGCCTTTGTCATTTTCCTCTTGATCGATTTTGAGTATGGTTGACACTTCTAATCTACTACATGAACTCTCTCTCCAACTCGATGTTATCTGTAAATTTGAAAAATTGCAGTTTGAAAAGCCCATTTTTATTCAAGTCATTGAAAAAAGTGAAACAGTACAGGGCCACGTATAGCTCCCGGGGACATTCCACTAGGAACTGTCCAAGTCGATGTGGTCAGCTAGTTTTGATTTACCTAATTATATGATCATCTGGCTCACATTTCTCCCCTATTTTCCACAAGAATAATTTGAGAGAACTTGTCAAATATCAGTTTAATTCAGTAAACATTTACTAAGTGCATACTTTGTGTAAGGTACAGTGCTAGGCGTTGATGGTACAAAAACAAAACTAGGAGTGGTCATTCTGTTGGGTTCCAAAATATGCACAGACGAGTAAATACAGGAGAATTGAGAGAGGAGAAAGCACTAACAGGTAGGGAGATGAATCAGGAAAGGCTTGAATAAACAGACAGTACTGGAGCTGTTCTTTGCAGGAAGCTAGAGGTTCTGAGAGACGGAGAAAGTAGGTGTTCTAGATGTGGGAGGCAGCCATATCAAGTCTGAGGAACAGTTCATAGGCTAGTTTGGGTAGAACAGAGAACACAGATCGGGGACCGATAAGAAATGACTAGAAATGTAGGCGAAGGCTAGATGGGGGAGGCCTCTTCATGTCAGGCTGAGTCATCTGTGTTTTATCCCAGAAGGGAAAGGTAATGGCTGAGGAGTTTTGAGCAGTGTGTGGATGACGTCTGATCTATGGATGGGAGTAAACAAATTCCAGGCATGTGTATTACTGTGCTACTATTGTCTGTGAAGTGCAAGGAAGTGAGTTCCAGAGAGAAATGTCAAGAGGTGCGTCAAGATAAATTCACAGATAGTGAGGAAACCCATCAGGTGGTGGGCTGTGCTTCAGCTGAGGGAGAGGACATTGGACTTGGGGTCCGGAAAACCAGGGTTCAGATCCTCCTCCTTCTGACACGCTTAGCTTGGCCACTCTGGGCCAGTCACTTAGCCTCTTCTTGCATCAGTTTCTTCATCTGTAAGGACGGGGTTGGGCTAGGTGTCTGTGAAGAGTCTTAACTCTATAGAAAGGACTGCTCCAAATTGAGTGTCACTTGCAAAGCTGCAAGAGACCCTGGAGCTTGTTTGGTCTGACTCCCTCATTTTGCAGGTGAAGACACTGAGGCTCACGGGCGGAAACTGATTATTTCCGGTCACACCGAGACTCAGTGGGAAGGTAGGACTAGAACGCAGGTCTGATGACTCTCTGGTGTTGCTTAAAACAGGAGTGATGAAAGCTGTGGCTTGTCATCCCCTGGGATCAGGTCAGGTCGTAGGACCATTTGGTACCATCAGTGAGCAAACCCTTTACACCTTAGGAGGCCACCAAAGGGCCTGCCGCAAACTACTCGTGGAGGGAATGGAGTCAGAGTCACAAAGGAGGTTGTTTCTTCTTGGGCCAGTCGATCTTAGTAGCCATCATGTGTGTGTGTGTATGTAGGTGTAGTGCTTAATGATTGCAGAGTGCTTTGCCTGTATTTCCTCAATTGAGCTTCCCAGCATCCTAGGGAACTATGGGTATGGCCATCCCCATTTTACAGATAAGGAAACTGAGACTCAGCGAGGTGAACTGACTTGCCCATGGTCCCTTTTACATAATTAGTGTCAGAGGTGGGATTTGAACCCAGGTCTTCCTGACTTCATGTCCAGTACTATTATCTACTTTGTGGCACTGTCCATCCATGTAACTGTGGCTTTACTTAGGCCTGCCTGCTGTCTCCCTCTGATTGACAGATGTTGCTCTCCTCCGGTCTCTGTCTCCTACAGTCAAAGTCTTTGCGGCCTACTATCTCGGTGAAGAAGATGGACCGTGTCCTGTGCCCAGGGGAGCATGGTGAAGAGAATGGCTCGGTAATGGAACACAAAACAATTCCTTGGCAGATCTTCCCAGTACTTTCAGATCAACAGTCTCAGGGAGTTGAACTGGTCTTGGCATATGCAGTACCTATCCTAGACAAGAAAAAGACTTCTCGCTTGGTGAAGGAGATATCAGCTGTGTACCCATTAGAGGGCCAACAGCATCTCAAAAGGGTCCGAGCATGCACAGATAAGGCCAGTCCTCACCCATTGGAAATGTTGATTTGTTTAGCAAAGCCTGGGAAAGAGAAGGCAGAAGGTTTGCACACACTTTCAGAGCTCCTGCCCGATAAACAAGTAGACTGCTGTGGCCTAGGAGAACCATTCCTTGTTCATGTACCTGCCCATCCCCCTTTGACCAGGATGCAGTTTGAGGAAGCCAAGTTCCATTGGCCTACAGCCTTTCATGAAGACAAATATGTCACCAGTGCCCTCACAGGGCATCTTTTTTCAAAAGAAGAAAAGGTGAAGATGCAGACTTACATGAAACAAGCCATCTGGGCAGCCCAGCAAGGAGCAGAAAAGGGGATGAAGGCTATCGGAGCCGTAGTTGTTGATCCAGCCACAGAAGCTGTTCTTGCTGTAGGCCATGATTGTAGAAGCTCCTCAAATCCATTGTTACATGCCACAATGGTTTGCATAGACCTTGTTGCCCAAGGACAGGGGAGAGGCACATATAATTTTAAATCTCATCCTGCTTGTAGTGTCTCATCACTGGGGAACAGAGACCCATCAGCCTCAAAAGCTATCCGAGCTGGAACAGTACGAAAATTTGAATCCAGAGACAATGGGTTGCCCTATATCTGTACTGGCTATGAGCTTTATATCACAAGTGAGCCATGTGTAATGTGTGCCATGGCTCTGGTACATTCCCGAATTCAAAGGGTCTTCTATGGGACAGCATCACCTGATGGGGCCCTGGGCACCAAATATAAGATTCACACCAGACAGGACCTGAATCATCGTTTTGAGGTGTTCAGAGGCATCTTAGAGGACCAGTGTTGTTCCTTAATCAAAGATAGCTAGTCAGACAGCCAGTCTGCCAAATAGCTTTCATTTTTTTCTTTGCTAGTTCCTTCTCTTTTCATCATAATATAACCCATTCCTATCCCCATCTCTCCCAGGTAGCCAGCAGACTTTCCATTTCTCTTCACCAGTGCTAGATACCCTTAGGTGGTCCCACATAGGTTCTTCTCTTGCCCCCTCTTTTTTATGATCTAGCTGTTTGTAACTAAAGACAAAAATTCAGTAAGTCTTCAGAGTATCACTTCCCATGTTACATTTATGAATTTGTTAGACTGCTTACTGGCTAATTTCACCTGGAAAATTTGTTGCATGCCCTTCTTGTGATCATGCAAATTAAGTCTTTGGCTGGCTGGCTGGAGCTTCTACTGCATAGCATTTCACAGTGGGGGCCCTTGTTGGTGTGTGGCTGGGATGTAGGGTCTCTAGCAGTGTGATGAAGTGGGAGAACCATTACTTTGTTTTTAAAGCTCAGAAATCCTGGATGTGACTTTTTATGATAACCATGATTATCTTTTTTGTTAAATTATGGAAAACAAACTTTGAAATGCCAAAATAAAAATAAGAGAAATGAATTTGGATCATTTCTAAGACATTTAATTTTCTCATCTGTAAAATGGAGATGATAGTACTTGTACTACCTACCTCACAGGGTTGCTGTGGGGAAAACACTTTGCAGACCTTCAAGTGCCCTGCAGGTGTGGGTTATTATCATAATTAGTATGGAGGCCTAGGTACCGCACAACCATACCTGTATTAATTGTACTTCCTAAGTGTCTGTGATGAGCTCAGAATCTTCAGTACCAATTCTGGCTCTGCTGTTAGATTCAGCCACCTCCACAAAGCAGTGAGTTAGGCTGAGCAACCTTTCAAATTGGGGGTCCTTTGTGGAGCATGGCTTGGGAAAACGCTTCACCAGCAGCGTGATGAGGCGTAAGAACCATTACTTTGTCTCTTAAATCTCTAATCCCTGCTTGTGACTCCCACAGCGGAGGAGGTAACCGGAGGAGGTGACCGCTCTCACTGAACACTGGATACTGGATTTGGAGTGAGGGGGGCCTGGTGCCAAACATGTGTGTGACCACAGTCAAGGCACTTCCTCTCTTGAGGCCTCAGTTTTCTCATCTATGAAGATGAAAGGTTTGGACTAGTTGTAAGATCCCTTTAGCTTTAAATCATGCTGAACGTCAGCATTGCAAACACTGGATGATTCGGGAACTAGATTACACAGGTATAGAAAGGAGAAGATTGTTGCAGAACCCAGAAGTTTAACAGATAAATGTTGAATTCAGTTCAATAAACATTCTTTTTAAAAATTAAAAAAACAAGTTTTTATTGATATTGTTTGTTTTTATATCACTTCTGCTTCCCACTGTATCCCTCCCAAAGCCCTCTCTCAGAGAGCTGTTTCTTATAATAAAGGAGAAAAAGAGAGAAATAAAGGAGAAAAAATTGTTAAACTGACCACCATAGCAAAAAAAAAAAAATCCAACATATTCAGTGTTTCACACCCATGGTCCATCATTTGTGTAATGAAGTGGTGAAGAAACTGTCTTTCCCTCATTAGAATGTAAGCTCTTTGAGGGCAGAGACTATCTTGCTTGTCTTTGTATCCTCAGAGCTTAGTACAAAGTGTTTAACAATACTTTGATCTCTCTTCTCACCTTTCTTGTTTGGAGCTAAGCTTGGGCTTTATAATTTTGCGACATTCATTTTCATGTATTTGGTTGTTACTGTTGTGTATATTTTTTTCTTGGTTCTGCTTACTTTACTTTGAATCAATTCATATGCCCTTCCATGCTTTTCCATGTTCATCATTCGTTGTTTCTCGCAGTACTATAAGATTCCATTATATTCATGTACTACATTTTGTTTAGCCATTCAACAGTAGGTGGGCGTCTACTTCTAATTCTTTGCTTCTGCAAAAAAAAATGCTGCTATAAATATTCTGGTGTATATGGAGCCTTTTTTTTTTTTTGGGTCATTGACATTCTTAGGCCACATGCCTAGCAGTGGAGTCTCTGGGCCAAAGGGTATGAACATTCTGAATAATTCAAAGTTTGCTTTCCAGAATGATTGTAACAATTTACAACTCCACCAATAATGCATTAGTGCACCCGTTTTCCATAGCACTTTGAGCATGACAGTTCTTATCACCAAACATTTATTAATGGGGAGATATATCATATGTACTGATTGGTAGATGTAAGTAAGTAAGTAAGTACAAAGACATTTTGTTTTATTAAAAGTTGGAAGGGATCAGGAAAGGATTTTTGTAAGTGATGGCCCATGAACTGAGTCCTGAAAGAAGTAAAGGATTCTGAGAGGTGTGGGTTGGGAAAGAATGCATTTCAGGCGTGGAAGAAAGCACATACAAGGACATGGAGGTAGGAAGTAGGTTATCTCGTTGGAGGAACAGCAATAGGCCAGTAGTAGGTGGTTGAATTGTATTTACATCCAGTTTAAAATGCAATGAGACAAGGATATGTATGTATGTGTGTGTGTGTGTAGCTTCTAAGCACCCTCTGGTAAGAAGAGGCAGCTAGGCGGATGGAGCATTGGATCTGGAGTTCAAATGTGGCCTCAGATATGTATTAGGTGAGTGACTCTGGACTCTATCTTAGTTTCAGCATCTATAAATTGGGAATAATAGTCCCTACTTCCCACAGTTGTGATCATAAACTGAGATATTTCTAATGTGGTTTACAAACCTTAAAGCTCTACATAAATGTTAGTTATTATTGTTAGCTATTATTATTGTTAACTAGATGCTGTATTTATTTCTGCCTGCTGAAGTACGTATGCTGTTAGCACCCTCTAAGCTTCGGCACTTGGAGACAGTTCTAGTTGCGTATCCTGGTTACAGTTCTTGTCTTTTTTGTTTGTTTGTATCTTCCATTGGACCTTTCACAATGCCTGGTTTGTAGGAGATATTCAATAAACATTTGTCAATTTATTGTTGATGACCAAAAAATAAGAAAGTCTTTATTAAAGAGTTCTATGCATGAGAAAATTAGGTTCCTAATTCTGATTTTAAATAGTAAGTTATAGCTTTAAGATAAACAAGAAAAACTGAATGAGGATTATCTATGTATTATAAGGTATTTGATTTTGTCTAACCTTAGACAACAACTTGAGGTAATCGTCTTCTGAAGAATTTGCCCGTCATTCTAACCACTCTATTTCTTTTGGTGAACATCTTATAAGGTTTCAGTTTTCTCATCTGTAAAATGGGGGTGAAAATGTATGACTGAACTTCCTCAAAAGATCATTGTAGGAAAGCACTCTGCGTGTGGTAAAGGGATATGGAAATGGTAGATTTGCTTATTATTATGTACAGTAGTTTTGTGGGTGTGAATGGACTGTTCCAGATCAAGCCATGTTTAAAGAGATGGAAGCACTCCCTGCTCATTTCTTTCTTTTTTAAACTATGTTTCCTTGTACAAGACCCCCTGTTTCTCAGCTCCTGGTGTTTCCTCTGGCCGTCTTCCATGCCTGGAATGCTCTCCCTCCTCACCTTCACCTCTGCACGTTCCTGATTTCCTTCAAGTCCTGCCAAGTCCCCTCCTGCCACAAGAAGCCTTTCCTGATGCCCCCCAGTTCTAGTGCCTCCCCTGTGAGACTGCCCCTCTTTGTCTGGTCTGAATCTTGTTTGCACATAGTTGTTTGCATGTTGTCTCCCCTGTTAGACTGGAAGCTCCTTGAGGGCAGGATCAGACTTGTTTTGTATCCCCAGCTTTTAACCCAGTGCCTGGCATTTAGTAAGCACTATATAAATGTTGACTATCGTTATTATTATCATCATTCTTACTGTTGTTGCTGTTTTCTTCACCAGCGTGTTCACAGGTCCATTCTGTCAGTAAATCCATTCGGTGAGTATAGTACATGATGAAATCCTGTTATCAGTGAAATTGATTGTGTGCTGTCAGTGGATCTGGGATCTCAACAGGATGGGTACTTTGTGTGACTCTTGGCTGTGCATTTCCAGAAACCTTAGCTTCAAGACCCACGCAGTGCCCCAGAGCCCTTCCCTGCAGCTCTGAGGCAGCCCCTTCTGTAGCCCTTGTGTCAGGTCAGGACCGGCCTTCTCCTTGTCATATAGGTCTTTTCTTGCTCAGGCCATCGTTTGTAATATACTCTGGCCAGTATACACTTTGTTGTTGTGCAGTTGTGTCCAACTCTTCATCACCCATTAGTGGTTTTCTTGGTAAAGGTACTAGTATGGTTTGCCATTTTCCTCTCCAGCTCATTTTACAGATGACGAAACTGAGGCAAATAGGGTGAAGTGACTTGTCCAGGGTCACACAGCTAGTAAGTGTCTGAGGCCAGATTTGAACTCAAGAAGATGAGTCTTCCTGACATCAGGCCTGGCATTCTATCCACTGCATCACCTAGCTGCCCCTCGCTCTTGGGATAATTTGTTTTGAATTCTGAGATCACAGTGTTCCATGATGCACAGTCATGTAGCATCCCTGGGAGAAATGCCATGTGTTTAACACCAGTATTTGTGACAATGAACGGCATGTATCATTGAAAACCCTGTGCCCAGCCTTCCTGAGCCCTTCCTTCCAGGGCTCAGTTCATTGTCCACATGGAGCTGTGAATAGAAACAGAGTCATTAAACTGTCCATAAAGATCTTTGTAGCCTGCATGTTGACTTAGAAAACCACATATTAACATCATCCGTCTTACATCGTATTTTTATTTATTAATTTGGTTGAATATTTCCTGGTTTTTAATCTGGTTCAGGAATGTCGAGGGGCACCTGGTCTTTGGTACCTGTCTAAGACAGAGGTACAAAGGGACTGACTCTTTAGGTTGCCTGTGCACGTGCATGTCACAGTGATAATTGTGTCAGAAAGGCAGGGCGTGACCTTTTAAATTGAATTCCATACTTAAAAAAGAAAACTGTATTTGAGCTGTTGAGGATTTTCTCAATCCTCATTCTCCGTGGCCTGTCTGCAAACTTAGACGTTGTTGATCACTCTCTCCTCCTTGATACTTTTCTTCTCTCTAGGCTTTTGGGACACACCTCTCTCCTGGTTCTCCTGTCTCTCTGACTGCCCCTTCTCTATTTCCTTTGCTGGATCTTTATCCAGGGCATGCCCTCTAACCGTAGGTGTTCCTCAGGACTCTGTCCTGGGCCCTTTCTTCTCCCTCCACACTACTTCACTTAGTGATTTTATCAGCTCTTGGTGCTGACGATTCTCAAATATACTTAATCCTGCCCCACCCTCTCTGCTGACTTCTCTCAGATCTCCAACTGCCTTTCAGACTTCTCAAACTGAATATCCATTTTAAGCTCAACCTGTCCAAAACTGAACTCGTTACCTTTCCCCCTAAACAGTTTCCTCCTCCTACTTCCTTATTACTGGAGAGGGCAATACCATCGCAGCCCCTCAGGCTCCAGCCTAGGAGTCATCCTGGACTCCTCACTATCGCTCACCCCCACATCCAAGCTGTTTCCAAGGCCTGTTGATCTCACCTTTGCAGCCCCTCTCAAACATGCCCTCTGACTCTGTCACCCCTGTAACGCGAATCCTCATCACCTCACACCTTGATGCAATAGGCTGCTGGTGGGTTGGCCTACCTCAAGTGTCTGTCCACTGCTGTCCATCCTCCATTCAATCACTCAAGTGATTTTCTTAAAGCACAGGTTTGCTCATGTCACACACACACACACACACACACACATCACACTCACTCACACTCACTCACACTCACTCACTCTCGTTGCACTCCAGTGGCTCCTTGTTGCCTCCAGGCCTGCCTTTCCAGTCTCCTTACACCTTATTCCTCCAGGTATACTCTTGTATCCAGTGACATTGGTCTCCTGGCTTTCCCATGAACAAAACCTTCCATCTCTTGGCCCCAGGCATTTTCTCTGATTGTTCTCATGCCTGGGCTGCTCTCCCTCCTCAACTCTACCTACTGACCTCCCTGGGTTCCTATATGTCCCAGCTAAAATCCCATCTTTTACAGGAAGCCTTTCCCAACTCTTCTTAATGCTAGTGCATTCTCTGTTATTTATTTCCTATATATCCTGTATAAGCTTGATTTGTATATATTTGCATGTTGTCTCCCTCAGATTATAAGCTCCTCGAGGGCAGGAGTTGTCTTCTATCTCCAGTGCTTAGCACAGTGCCTGGCATACAGTAGGTGCTTAATAAATGTTTATTGATTGAGCTTTGTCGCTAATAATGTCGTTGTGCACCACTTAGGGAGCACCCATTCTGTGCAGGGCTTCCCTCAGTGAAAAGAGTAGTTGGGGGGAAATGTATATGTGGGAAGAAATGGTTAATAGTATGAGACAGTAGCAAATTCCTGAGTGTCAGATGGTTGTAGCAAACAGTCGTTGCTCAGGCTGTCCTGGGAAGAAGAGAGCCATGGGGTGGGGAGGCGAGGTGGGCTTCCTGGAGGATAGGAGGTTTGATCAGGGCCAGAGCAAGGAGGAAGGCGGCCATTGGGCCAAGGGAATGGTGCAGAGACAAGAAGGACAAGGTGTAATAGGGGCATTCTGGGTTGGCTTGGGTGTGATCTTTTTTCCATCCCTTGGGGTATCCTGCATCCCCCAAAGAGTTCATTTAGAAAGCAGTTGCCAAGTGTTTTCTGAGTGCCAGACATTGTGTGAAGTGCTGGGATGATAGTCCATGGGTGCAGTATGGATCAGAGGCAATATGGGACAATGGGAGGAGTACTAGTTTAGAGTCAGTGACCCTGGGTTCAAATCCTGCACCTGCCACGTCTCCCTGGTGGGGTTTTGGCGGTCAAGCTACTTCTCTCAGGCTTGGTCTCCTCATCTGTAAGATGGCTGGGGGAAGCGTTGGGCTTGCTGGTGTGGTGTCCCTGTCAGCTTTAAACCATGATCCTTTGGTCTTGTGACAGCAGCTTTTTGTATGAGGGAACCGTCAGGGTTGGTGGATATCGATGCCCTGATTGAGAGTGAGAATTGCTGCCATCTGGTCATATGGTAAGCAGTTCTGGAGGAGTTAGAAACAAAAGAAGATTGTCAGCCGAAAGAAGATTGTGCATTTCCCCTGTAGGTGTTGATGTCTACACAAGCCAAAGCGTCTTCCCTGAGTGTAGGCACGAGACCTACACTGTGTGGTTGTATGAAGACCCCTCCAACACACACACACAGCATCTGGACGCTTGGGCAGCTGACGGCATGGTGTGACTTGTGATTTTTGTCCCCTTCTCTCCTAGGGTTGCCATCCTCCTCAGCCAGCTGACTTGTGGGAGCATCTGTAAGAGCAATGACAGGTAAGAAACCGTATCACATACAGCACACTACCAGCGTTTGTTATTCACTTTTTGCTGCACATGACTTCCTTAACTCTGCAGATGTCCTAAGGAGAAGGTGGCTAGATTGAGTCTGATTTGTTTGACTTGGAATACCTTGTCTGGGTATTTATAAAGGTGGAAATGCTCAGTGTCTTGAGAATAGCCTTGAGAAACTCACAGTTCTGTTAGCTCAGTTGATGATTCGTGCATTGATTCAGCAAAGCTTTGGGAAGGCCTGACTGTGTTGCTTGGCCCCTATGCTAAGCACTCAGAGGCAACAGTAGATTTGGAAACATTTTGTAAGTGCCCACTGTGTGCAAGGGATACTAAAGAGTCCTGTCCTCCACAAGCTTAGATTCTTAGATGTGGGGCATGTCCACAGACTAGTGCTATGTACAGTAGCATTTGGTGGGGCAAAGGGCAGAGCCAGACGGGTGCTCTGGGAAAGCAACAAAGCAAAAACCACTTTCACTTGAGGGAAATTTGGACTTAGAGCTGGAAAGGACCTTAGACTCCGACCCCTCATTTTACAGATGAGGAAACTGAGGACTGGTGGGGGAGGGCTGGGATTGCTGCCCCGAGGCTCCCCGGGCTCTGAAGGCACCGGACAGTGGCACAGGGGGGTCAGCCCACTCCTCTGGCAGAGGAGACAGAATTTCCAGAAAAATCTTATCTGGGCATCTGCTGCTGCCATCCCAGACTCTTCCTTCCTGAAGGATAAGCTGTGCTGGGAACTCCAGTTCCTGCCTTGCAGCTTCCTCCCTGGGTCCTGACCGTTTCGGGCCTGATCCACCACTTTGATCTCTCCTGTTGCTGTTCCATCCTCCTTCCTCCCTGGTGACCAAGGCCTCTTTGTGATTGCTTCCTATGTCTTGAAGATTCAACTTTGATCTACATATTACTCCCTATTTATGGGTTAAAATTTTTTTCTCAATTACATGTAAATTAAAGTTTTTAAGATTTGATGTAACCTGTTAAGTCAGTCCAGCCATTCTAATGTCAGTGAGAAATCCAGTTAAAGAAGCAAATAACCTTATCCAATTTTCTTGCATATATGTCTTCAAGATTGTTTTTATGTAGTATTTTACCAGGTTGGTGAAATCAGAACAGAGTTTGTATTTTTATTGTACCCTTTTTACAATAGTGATTTGTTAAAAAACCAAATTAATTTTCATTCTGACAGAACTTATCACAGTACTTGTATCCTAAACAATCAGTACTAAATCCTATAACAGTATAAAGGCCATTGTGAATTAAGGGCTGTCTAAAAACCCAGCTTCTGTCACTTTTCTTTTTTATACTCAGGTAGTATACCAAGATGTTCTTAACCCTTCCTCCTGAGTAAGAGTAGATTTCTTCTGGATAAAGAGTTTTTTTGGGGGAAAAAAATGTTTTTGCGTTACTTTTTGCACCATTTTGTGAAGTCATTGACCCAACCCAAAATACACTTCTGCTTCTCCTGGGGAGTTTTATACCAAAAACAGTTTTATACAACAGGTAGAAATTATGTATGAATGATTTTGGGGGAAATTATCAGTTGCAGTATTTTAAAGAAATAGAATTTCTTTGTTTTTGGAGAAATTTTGTAAATAAATTTGAATTTCTAAGTTAAAAAAATTTTTTTAAGATTTGTTTTTTAAAATTTTGAGTCCCAAATTCTCTCCCTCCTTCCTTCTCCTCCCGTCTCCTTGAGAAGGTAAGCAATTTGAGATAGATTATATACATATGCTGTCATGCAGAAACATTTCCATATTAGCCATATTGCAAAAGAAAATGCAGACCAAAAATAAATTAAGTTAAAAAAGCATGCTTTGGGGCAGCTAGGTGGTGCAATGGATAGAGCACTGGCCCTGGATTCAGGAGGACCTGAGTTCAAAATCCAGCCTCAGACACATAACACTTTCTAGCTGTGTGACCCCAGGCAAGTCACTTAACCCCCACTGCCCAACCAAAAAAACCCAAAAAGCATGCTTCAATCTCCATTTAGACTCCATCAGTTTTTTCTCTGGAGTTGGCTAACATTTTTCATCCTGAGTCCTTCAAAATGGTCTTGGATCATTGGTCTGCTGAGAATGGTCCTATTTGCTCTTAGCACTTTTCTAGCTATGGGCCTTGTTTTCCTCACCTTTAAAATGGAAATACTATTTAATCACTGAACAAGTGATAAGTGCAGGCTGTACTCACTTGGGAGGCAAAGAAAGGCCAGAGGGGTCCTTGGCCCTCCTCCTTCCTAAGCCACGTTGCCGTGACAGCGCTGCAGAAGTGAGCCTTGTCACTTTGGCGCTGGTGGCCAGCTAGACTTTGCCTGATCCTGATTGGTTGTCCCACTTGGCTCTGTCCGTTGCCCCATCATACACGCCCTTGCTCCCCGCAGTGAATGCTGGAACTGAAGCACTCCCTGCAGCTCCAGTCCTGGCCCCTCCTTCCAGAGGCCGAACACACCGAACACGGTCAGTGGCTTGTATTTCCATGTCCAGCAGCACTTTGAAGGGGGAGGAAGCTAAAAGCAAAAGTGGAGTATTGGCTTTGGGGTGTGACATCAGTTAAAGTGACTGTGTCATTTTCCTCTTCCAGCCTTTGCCCGCAACCCTTAGAAGGCCCTGTCTAGGGCTTCATGGTAGTTGATGGGTGAGCCTGGGTTCCCACAGGCCAGGGCAGCCAAGCACAGGCACCATCCAGTCCTGCCAGCTGAGAGGGGCTCTGTCATTCCCTCTGGCTCCAGATGTGCTCGCTGCCAGCTTGGCCCCAGCCTCAATGGCTCCCTCTCAGTCCAGTAGTCCAGTGGTTGGAAATATGAGAACTCCAGACCCTTTGAATCCCATAGGGTCTTCTGACCACGGAGACAAGGACTTGGGGGAATGGGAAAAGGCCTAGGCCAAAGTGGAGGCACTCACCTTCTCTCCTCATGCTTATATGTGTGTGTGTGTGTGTGTGTGTGTGTGTGTGTGTGTGCACATGCATACATATATATATATATATCTATATATCCCTATTTCCTTTAATTGTTCAGTGGTTTAAAAATCTTCCCATCATCCTGCTCTTCTTTCAAGGCATTTTAATATGCTAACATCCTTACTGAAATATGTGAAATTAACACAGTACAACAGATGTCATCTAACTAAGGCAGCTTATGTGGGAACTGTCATCTCCTTTGTGGGCATTAGAGTTCTATTAACTTAGTATTAATTGCTTTCTTAGCATTCATTTGATGAACAAGCATTTATTGAGCTCCTACTGTGTGCCAAGTTGAGTCCCTACCTTTAAGGACCTTAGACACTATGAGGGAAACTGCATTTATATAGAAAATTAAATAGAAAATACATACAAAGTCATTTTAGGAGAGAAGGCATTAGCTGCTTGGGAATCAAGAAAGGCCTCCTATATGGAGTTAGCCCTTAAGCTGAGCTGTGGAGAGAGCAAGGGGCTGGGAAGGAGGAAATAGTGCATTCCAGGCAAGGGGGGCAGCCTGTGCAAAGGCCTGAGGACCGGAGAGGAAATCTCCCAGAAGAGGAACAGCAAACCACCCAGCCATTCCACTTTCCTGGGATACAGAGCAAGTGACGGAAAGTACCATACAGGAAACCTGGAAGTGGAGGGTTCAGCCAGAGTGGGAGGGGCTCACAAAGCCAGTCGGTCAGAATTTATTCAAGTGTCTATGTGCCAGGCATTGTGCCGTGCGATGGGGTACCAGGACAAAACAAAAACAATAATTGCCCTCAGGGATCTTAAATTCTATAGGGGGAGACATGTCTGCATAGAAGGAGATACGAATGCATACAAAATAAATATTAGGGAATTTGGAGAGGAAGACACTGACACAGGAGAGTCAAGAAAGGCTCTTACATGAAGTAAGAGGGGGCCCTTGAGCTGACTTTGGGAAGAAACGTCCAGGGATTCTCAGAGATTGAAGTGAGAAGGGAATGCATTCCAGACATGGGAGTACTTGCTTTTTGAGGTAAGAGAGAGCCTCCGTGAGGACTTGACTGTGCCGAGGCATTTTGGGAGGAGCTCTGGGCACTCAAAGAGGGAGATGACAGGGGTTCTGTTCTCGGGGAGCTCCCAGTCTTCCTTAGGGGTGGGGGTGGGAAGGACATGTATACAAATAACTAACAGGAGGGAGAATGTAGTCATTGAACTAAGTGCCATGAAGGTCATAAGAGAGATCAGTCACTTTCACCTGAGCTTGGGGGCAAGGAGGAGGACGTCTTTAGCAGCAGGCCAGAGTTTGAGCAGGCGTGCTCTCTATCTGCTTTTCATTGGATGTTGACTCTTCACCTGGGATTGAAACTAGCTTGAGACTAGAAGCAACCAGGTGGTGCAGTAGGTAGATGTTGGCTCTGGAGTCAGGAAGACTACAGTGTCGATCTTGTCCCTGTCACTTAATATGACTCTGAGTGAGGATGAAATGATGTAAAGTGTATCAGTCACTCTCCAAGCTTTAAAGTGCTATATAAAGTGTTAGCTTTTCTTAGTAGTAGTAGTTCTCTGTTAAATTACTAAACATAACAGGAAGGCTAAAAGTGCTATTTTTTAAAACCTACATATTTTATATAAGATACTAAGTTGGAAATTTGTCTCTACATACTTCTTACAGTTTGGAGGTTTTCCCAGAATGTGTTTTGTCTTTTTGTTGTTTTCAGTCCTCAATCCAAAAACAAGGCATTTATTAAACACTTACTGCCTGTCAGGCACTTTGTTAAGCACTGGGGATGCAAAGAAAGGACAAAAAACAGACCAGTCCTTGCTCTCAAAGGCAGTCACATCCTGATGGGGGAGACCACATTGAAACAACTATGGACAAGCAAGATTGAGCTGGAGATAATCTCAGAGGAAAGGTACTGAAATTAAGGAGGACTGAGAAAGGCTTCTTGTAGAAGGCAAGACATCAGCTGAGACATGAAGGGAGCCAGGGAAGCCAGAAGGTGGAGATGCAGAGAGGGGGAGCGTGCCAGGGATGTAGCTCAGCCATGGAAGATGTC